AAAGAAAAATAACTTTTGGGAAAGCAAATCTTTGTAAAATTGAATGGTAACATCACCTCTACTCATCAGATTGTAGAAATATCCAACTACCTGTCCTTCATCACCCTAAACGAAATAGGATTAACACAACTCATATATAAGATTGCTTTTAGTGAGCATATCGATGCTTTCCCTTATCTGGCGTTTTCCTGTATTCGCCCCACATACAGCCGGCCTTTGCGTCAGTTTCCAGCCGATTTTCTGTTCTGTCCGTGCGATGAAAGATTCGCAATAGTGGAATACACTGCACGAACGGGACACGAAATCGGCAAAAAGCCTGGCTGCATATTGTGAAAATATGGAAAAACGAGAGCTACAAGAAATCTAATGAAGAGAAGAATTTAAGAAGGCAGGATTAGCGAAAACTTTGCATACGGCCTGAGCAAACTGGAAGAAGCAAATAGAAGACGACTGGACAAATGTAATATATTTAATATGACATGTATTCATCCTATTTCGTGTACAGTGATTGAGGACTGGTAGACGAATAATTTTACCACAATCTGATGAGAGTAGAGCTGACGACTCCATTCAATTTCACATCGTCTTGCTTTTCCAAAAGTTCATCTCATCCAGACAGAAGCGAACTACAGTTGTGTGAAATTGAATGGAAACGTCAATTATACTCTCATCAGATTGTGGGAAAATTCTCCTTCTACCAGTCCTCCATCACCTTACACCAAATTAGATGAATACATATCATACTACTGATTTACTGATAGTCTCATAGCTTTACTTAAATACGTAATATATTTAATTACAAAAAGACGAAAGGGAAACTATAAGAAAACAAGAGAATGTGGACAAGAGATACCACAACTGTTTAGCAGACAATTGGTCAAATGCTCGACTTCACTTGTCTCGTTGACAAGTTGTGGAGTGCTGCTAAGAATGGCAATGCTCACTGACGATGCCGGCGAAACGTCTGGGAGTGTACCACGTCTATGGTCCGAATACGGAAATGTTCCTGCATACAATGGACTCCGGACGAGGTGCGTTTTTGCGAGTCTTCCTACCAAAATGACCGAGTTGCGAAAACAAGGTCAAACAACTTCTGTACAACAAAAGCAGACTGCGACTACACAAAAGGCTACACCATCTTGCTCTTCATAATTTTGATTAGTTTTTTAGTCATTAGAATAGATAAAATGTAAGCTAGAGCCGGACAGTCTTCGTGACTTTGTATTAATTTGGGACTTTTGCAGGAATGAGTTCCAGCTCTGAGGATGTCCGTCACTTGATTGAGAACAGCTGAGCCCAGTTCCAGCCTAAACAAGGGAGGATGTATCAAAGTCAAACAATGTGATCCAGCAACCGTCATTTGGTGGGCTCAATTCACCAAATACGCTACCTTCGGAGCCATCTGAAACTGGCCCCGATGAGTCATAAGATGAGTATGACTTTCAGGCAACAAATGTACACATCCAAAGGGTTTATTGTAGGAAAATTTTAGGTAAAATGTCTTGCCCCTAAAACCGCTCCTTCACGATTTCTCTTTCATTGTGGCTATGAATGTGACGATGAGGCGAGGCTGAAATTACAATCCAGGCAAAGTGTGAAAATGTAATGAGATGTATTCACCCTATTTCGTGTAAGGTGATGAAGGACTGGTAGTAGAATTTTCCCACAAGTGTAATGAGATGTATTCACCCTATTTCGTGTAAGGTGATGAAGGACTGGTAGTAGAATTTTCCCACAATGCTTATCAGTGTGATGAGATGTATTCACCCTATTTCGTGTAAGGTGATGAAGGACTGGTAGTAGAATTTTCCCACAATGATATGAATTAGAGCTGACGTTTCCATTCAATTTCAAATTGCCTTGCTTTCCCAACACCCTGGATGAGAACACCTTTTGGGTGCTGACTTTTCCATTGAATTTCACATAGCCTTGCTTTCCCAAAAGTTGTTCTCATCCTGGGTGGACTGCGCGTTTTCCATTGAATTTCACATAGCCTTGCTTTCCCAAAAGTTGTTCTAATCCTGGGTGGACTGCAGTTTCCTTCCATTGAATTTCACATAGCCTTGCTTTCCCAAAAGTTGTTCTCATTCAGGCACCAGTGGACTGCAGGTCTCCATTGAATTTCACATAGCCTTGCTTTCCCAAAAGTTGTTCTCATCCCGGCTTGAGTGGACTGCAGTACCATTGAATTTTCACATAGCTTTACTTTCCCAAAAGTTGTTCTCATCCTGGGTGGACTGCAGTTTCGACCTCGCATTGGACATTGAATTTCACATAGCCTTGCTTTCCCAAAAGTTATTCTCATCCTGGGTGGACTGAAGTTTCGACCTCGCTATTGAATTTCACATAGCCTTGCTTTCCCAAAAGTTGTTCTCATCCAGGGTGGACTGCAGTTTCGACCTCTTTGAATTTCACATAGCCTTGCTTTCCCAAAAGTTGTTCTCATCCTGGGTGGACTGCAGTTTTGACCTTTGAATTTCACATAGCCTTGCTTTCCCAAAAGTTGTTCTCATCCAGGGTGGGAAAGCAAGGCTATGTGAAAGGGACTGGTAGTAGAATTTTCCCACAATGATATGAGTTGAGCTGACGTTTTCCATTGAATTTCACATAGCCGTCCAGAGTGGACTGCAGTTTCGACCTCGCATTGGTCTTATCAACACCCTCAGCGGGATTCGAACCATGACAGTGCA